CCCAGGCTGGAGTGCAATGGCGCGATCTCGGCTCACCGCAATCTCCGCCTCCTGGGTTCGGGCAATTCTCCTGCCTCAGCCTCCTGAGTAGCTGGGATTACAGGCATGCGCCACCATGCCCAGCTGATTTTTTTTGTATTTTTAGTAGAGACGGGATTTCACTATGTTGATCAGGATGGTCTCGATCTCTTGACCTCGGGATCCACCCGCCTCGACCTCCCAAAGTGTCCCTTTTTTTTTTTGAGACAGAGTTTTACTCTTGTCGCCCAGGCTGAAGTGCGATGGCGTGATCTTGGCTCACTGCAACTTCTGCCTCCCGGGTTCAAGCAATTTCCCTGCCTTAGCCTCCTGAGTAGCTGGGATTATAGGCACCATCACCACGCCCGGCTAATTTTTTGTATTTTCAGTAGAGATGGGGTTTCATCATGTTGGGCAGGCTGGTCTTGAACTCCCGACCTCAGGTGATCTGCCTGTCTCAGCCTCCCAAAGTGCAGGGATTACAGGCCTGCCACTAGGCCCAGCCGACACCTAATTATTTCTTAATGTTGTTTTGATTTTTCAAAATTTTCTTTATTTTGTTGGAAATGGGGTCTCGCAATGCTGCCTAGGCTGATCTCAAACTCCTGGCCTCAAGCAGTCCTCCCACCTAGGCCTCCCAAAGTGCTGGGATTACAAGTGTGAGCTACTATGCCTGGCCTATTGTTATCTTGAGTTTAAAATAAAAGGGCTTCCTGAAAAGACTTTCTTTTAGTATCTGTTCTTAGAGTTCTGAACCTTCCAGTTACCGACTACATCAGTTAGGATTCAGATGAGGAAGTAGAAACCACTCTGGGTATTTTAAGTGGAAAGAGATTTAAGTTCTTAGTCAAAAAGTACTTAAAAGTAAAATAACTGAGGCTGAGTGTGGTGGCTTATGCCTATAATCCCAACATTTTGGGAGGCTGAGTCAGGCGGATTACCTGAGGCCAGGAGTTCAAGACCAGCCTGGCCAACATGGCAAAACCCCATCTCTACTAAAAATAAAAAGATTAGTTGGGCGTGGTGGTGCATGCCTGTAATTCCAGCTACTCCGGAGGCTGAGGCAGGAGAATTGCCTGAGCCTGGGAGGTAGAGGTTACACTGAACTGAGATTGCACAACTGCACTCCAGCCTGGGTGACACAACAAAACTCTGTCTCAAAAAGAAAAGTAGCTGGAGGCTGGGCGCTGTGGCTCATGCCTATAATCCTAGCACTTTGGGAGGCTGAGGTGGGTGAATCACCTGAGGTCAGGAGTTCAAGACCAGCCTGGCCATCATGGTGAAACCTCATCTTGAAAAAAAAAAGTAGCTGGAGAAGTGGAAGTCAAGATCACTCCTCCAAAGTTGCAGTCAGAATTCAACAAACCAGTTTTGCCTCTGCTGCTATTGAACCATCTCAGTCTCCTGAAGTTAATGATGGGACAGTGGACTCCAGAGTCTAGCCACCACACCCACACTAGACAGGATGACTTGTCAGGCTCCACAGCCCCAGGATGATGGCCTCTGTCCTCCTCCTGCCTTCCAAAACTCTCAGGAGAGAATCTCATTAGCAGAATTGCAGTCACGTCCAGAATCTGCTGCAAGGACCTCTGGGAAGAGTGCTGGGCAGCACTGGGGGCTGAGCCAGTATAGTATCTTGCACAGTGATCTCTTAAGAGGACTTACTTTTCAGACTTGGCGGGGAGAAGAGTCTCCACTGCTTGATGGCAAAAAAGTCTCCCATGAGGGACCAGGTTCCTGGGCCATAGTCCTAACCAACCCTCTGGCTTTATAGTAACCTTACGGCCTATTACATGGTCAACTCCGCTGTTCAGAAGGGTGGGGATTTAGGGAGATAAAGGACCCACAGTTGGATCCCACAGGTGTAGTTGATGTTATTTGGCTAACATTGCACAGTTCGTAAACAGTTGGTACCCTGGTGCCAGCCCAGAATAGAGCTATACACAAATCCTGCTTAGAGCCCCTTCCTTTGAGGCCTCAGGCACTTGCCCTTCTAGGACCTTCTCCTTGGCATTGTTTGAAGCCACACTCTTCAATGGTCAAGAGTGTGGGCTCTGGCCTAGACTGCTGAGGTTCAAGTCCTGGCTCTGCTATTAATACTTATAAGTTAAATGACCTTGGGCAAATTAGTCAGTGTCCTCTCTCAATGGGGGTAATAAACAATTCTGATATAAGGGTGGCAATAATGCAGAGATGAGGTTTCACTATGTTAGCCAAGCTGGTCTTGAACTCCTGACTTCAAGTGATCTGCCTGTCTCGGCCTCCCGGTGCTGGGACTACAGGCGTGAGTCACCATGCCTGGCCAATTTTGTTTTATAATCACTGATTCTCTTTCTTTGGGGATTCCAGCTTATGAGCAGATTGATCAATTAATTGACGAAATTATGGTAAAATATAAATAACGTAAAATTTTCCCATTTTAACCACTTGAGTGTACAGTTCTATGATAGTATGATAATGAGATGCCATCTCTCAAAAAAAAAAAAAGTTAG